CTTGGGCTGTTCGAGGTGGTGTGCAGCTACGGGGCCGTCCTTGCCACGCACAAATGCTGAACGTGCTGGTGCGTTAGTGTTCAMTGCCATTGCCACCGTATTCGGGCTTAGGCGATTACAGCAAGGTGCTGGATATAATTACTAAGCATAGCTATAGTGCACCAATGCTGGGCGAACTGGTTTAGCYATTGAAGATACCTTTCAAGCTGTGTAGCGGCGGACCGGTCGAAAGCCACAGCGAGGGAGAAAGGGGGGAGGGGGTGTACTCTATGGAAGACAGTTGAACTAGGCTGCATAGTGAGAGCTTGGATCAGGGAGGCGGTGTTGCGACTTGAAGAAGGGGGGGTTATTGCCGTGAAMTGGGAGGTTGCCAGGAAKTTAGCAACTAGTGGTGGACGTCAGTTGACCAGCGACCTCGTGTTTTGGCTGCCATTGTGGGGCCCTCAGGCGAGACAAGAATCGAAGGCCCTCTCTCGCGAGTCTGAGTACACCATTCTTGTATCTGAGAGTCTCAAAACTACMTACCCCTRCCCTTCTTACTCTAAGTCTAGTCCCTTAGTTCTGAGAGGAAGGCGCCAGGCGGGATTGCAACCCGTAATCCGCGCCAAGGCCTCCGTGGGAGGTTCGCCCCACCGATTGCGGGAGCTCTGCCGGAGCCTAGRCGAGGCTCTGGAGGCAGGGAATTGAAAGGYGATCTTTTGCTTTCGCTCTATACCCTGGTATAACCCCTACTTGTAMCCCCTTGYTATGTTTGACTGAGTATGTTGCATGCACCCCTATTTTGACYTTGGTTTGACTKACAGGATAYAACTYAGATTAAATAAAGGAATGTATRCGCAATCTCRGTTTCASTTTTTGTTGATTGCCTGAAARCAGACTGTGAACAGAASGGGTTGCATCTKGGGRAAGGGTGGGTGAAAGGTGGTTTTGCCTAAGCGTGAATGGGCCCTATGGGGTCAGACCAGTTCCATAAGATTGGACGGCCTGACCGCTGTGTTTTATTTTTGAATTGCATGGAGAGTCAGACCAGTTCCATAAGATTGGACRGTCTRATTGCTCTGAATTGTGAGGGTTTAACTRTGGCTGACTTTTCAGGGGCCAAACCTGTACCATAAGATTGGAGGGTTTGSTTGYCATGTTGATTGGGGTTTGTTTTGTTTCTTTTGTTTCTGATCGAGGAGGTCTGAGCAAGTCCATAAGATTGGACGGCCCAGCCCCCCTCTTGTTTTATTCTGAGGGGATAATCCTTGTTGAGGGCAGGGCATGTCCATAAGATTGGRCGGCCTTGGACTCWTGYTGYACACAGTTGGGTCAGAGAGAAACKAACYTGGCAGAGGACCAGACCAGTTCCATAAGATTGGACGGTCTGGCCCAATGCCTCGCACACGCTGGAACCCAAAGGGTTAAATTTTGGCTATATTTTATACTATCMTATGTATGAACAGGCTAGCCAGGCATGGGTTCCATAAGATTGGACGGTCTGGCTATAGCTTATCATAAAATGAAGAGAGTATAATTAAGAGTATAATTGAAGKTGACACTGGGCAGGYCGTGCCTTGTTCTAAGATGAACGGCTCGGTCCTATGCCYAGCTTTCGAATACCAAGCTCAGAAAGGTATATATAAGTTGGATATTAAACAGTTYTGGGCGACTAAGCGTTGTTCTAAGATGAACGGCCTAGTCGTATGCCCAAAAACAAGAGAAAAGTAGTTGTGCAGCCTGTTCATGTATACTCAATGGCTGAGTCAGGCAAGTTCCATAAGATTGGACGGCTTGACTTTATGCCCTATGTAACCTGGGTATAAGGGGATAAAGCATTGCGAAGTTACGAACTATTGTTTGCAAAGATTGATTTGGGGTGGCGAGAGTACTTACCTTTGTGGTTTGGCCTGCATGAGGCTGAGTGAGGCTACTACTTGGTTTGAGTGTCAGGTTGACAGGTAGTTGCTTTAGAGGCTCGCCTCGTGCGAGAGCGATAGGAGTTAGGTCAATTCCTGCATTTTCTGAGCTAAGTTTTTTTACTTAGATCGATTCTCGCATTTTGTCGTCGCGGTCGAACATCAAGGGGTTTGACTTTGATGGCCGCCACGAACTATAACGTCCAACTATGAAACCGCAAAGAGGAGACTCACTCCAACCCCCATTAGCTGATGGCCTTCTAAAATGGAACGGGGGTGGATAAGCCCAAGTGACATGCGCGCGGAGGAGGTCCGGTATCCTACCCGTAGGCTACCCAGCGTCCGGGATAATGAGGCTCGTACACGGACTCCCAAAGGCTGACCAGAACTAGTCCTCCGCCCACGTGCCGCTTCACGTTACCAAAACCCCAAGTTTACTGGCCATGTCGCGCTAGTGATCTCGCCGCCTAACCCATAACTCTTTTAGTGCGGGATGCGACGAGTGCCGCGAGCGAACTTAGTATAAGATCGCGAGGGCGCTGGACTTACACATTCTATCTCGCTATGCAGTTCTACGTGAGTAACTGCGATGGCGGCGCATTGTGTAGTGCCCACACCCAAATGGCCTACTCTGAGCTAAGGGGTCCCCTTTCGACGCTCAGGCGTCGGCTGAAGCGCGGGCCAATGGGGGTAACCCTTTAGCGTGCGCAAAACCGGCCTGAGGGCCTTTCCGTCTTCAGCACCCTGAGGTGTCCCAATGGGTGCGGGGCAAGACGGCCCCTAGGGCAGGAGGGAGTTTGGAGCGGTGGTGAGTTGTCTGGCGCACCACCAGCAACACGCTGACCCTTCCGCCCGGAACTTTATCGTTTCACCAAGATGAATCGCAACAAGGAAAAGAAACAAGAATTGGCGAGGGATACCCCGCCCCCTTTCTATTCACCCCTACCTTCGACTGACCCTTAGTACGCGGGCGCTTCAGGCCACGCTAGCTCCGCACGTGGGTACACATGCACTGGCACATATATATATATATATATATATATATCTATGCAGAAGGGGGATAATTATGTGACGATCACTTCTCACAGTCATAGTGGGTCTCCTCCTAGCCATACATATATATGCGACCGCAGGGCAGCCCAATCAAAACCCCAAGTCTTTGAACATACCTGCAATCACATCAAAAGTCAGACAAGAGTCCACGCACTACGCGGAGTCAACTCCAACCGGCTCCTATACTCATACCCCTCGCTTTAGCCATGCAACCCCAACTTCCAGCCAACCAACCTCAATTTAATACTCAGTACCTTTGCTAAATGGCCATTCAATAAAAGTCCGGGTGAAACCCTTAACAAACAAAAAGATCACGAGGGCTAAAGCCTTTTAGGTTGAGTATGGGAGCGAGTAGGGATTGAGTCGTGAGCCGACGAATCGACAACCGACCTGTTATCAGTGATAACAGATGATGATCCTTGCAGGATAAAGCTGAACTAGCCCATGTCCTGAATCGAATGTCCAAGAAAGGCCTGTACCATAAGACAGGTCAATGCCCAAGCTAAATCATCAGCATATGGGGATGACCCTCCATAGCACATTCTCACCTAAGTTACCTACCAATTAAATCAAAGTCTATTCCTAAGCCAGAGCCCAAGCAAAGGTAGACTAACGGCATGATCTCTCCTATTCAAGGTGGATCGCCAGAATCGCCATCTGTTAGAATATAATCTAACTTCTCTAAATCAAGAGAATTTCGGCAGCGCTTCCCGAAGGAAAAGTGTGTTTTCATAATTTATATCAGCCCGAATATGAGAACAGAAACAGTCTTTGTCTTTCCAAAGTCCAATCTTGTCTAACTTCCTGAATTAGCAAAAATTTGGGCAGCACTCCTTTTAGAAAAGGAGACTTTCCAGATTTTTACTAAGCCATACATGAACTTTAGACGGGTTGAACCTTGAAAAGTCAAGGATTGACTAACTCCCCGGATCCGTAGAAATTTTGGCAGCGCTTCCCGTAGAGAAAGTGGCTTACCAAAATTTATACAAAGCCAAGTATAACAAAAGATCCCAGAGCTTAGAGGTGTCTACTCAACCCCTCTGCACAGGGTGCAGAAGAGGGTGTGGTCTCTAAGCGTCGAGAGATTAACCCTCAAGGCGCATGTCAGACGACACTTGAGTATCGAACGCGACCCTCGAGATTAACGAGGACCGCGCGAGTATGGGTACTACATGGTACGCCATCATCGCGACTGCTTGCGTACGTTTGCATTGCTAATCGATATGAGTTAGCCCTGCGTCCGCGCGGTTTTATGCTAAGTCTCGCGCGCGACGCCTGTCCGATTTCCGCATCGGAAAGTTATGGGTTGGCTACCGAGGGGCTAGGAGCGTTGTCGCGTTGTTTATGTTGTGTCGCTTGTGGAATGTGTGCGTGCGCGTGTGTTTTGTTTTCGTGTTCATATAGTGGTGTGCGGGTGGTGTGGGGGGATGCGTCCTAGTCGACCGACGTCGAGCCACGCCTGGGACTTCAGCCCCCCAAGATGTCGGTCCGCGTGCGGGTCCAATAGGCGTATTACCGCGCGTACCCCCTATGCTACAGCGAACAAGAAACGCCCTCGGTTGGTCCACCTCTGCGATTGCAACCGAGTAGCTTTCGTATTGTGGACTGGTAGCTCGGCGAGGATACGCCCACCGAAGGGAGGTGACAACTCCCGTAAGGTGGAGGTAAGTTGTGCCTCGCGTAGGCCCTATCCTGTCGTAGGGGCTCGCGAGAGGTATGGCTGGCACACTCGGCCGGAGCGGCCTAAGGAAGCTCCATTTGCGCATTCGTGTCGAGGTTGGTCCAACTCCTACGTGACGCGGCCGAGAGGGTCCCGCGCTGCCACGTGAGGTGCCGGACCGATGCGCGCGACAAGGTGGCGCCGTTGCTGGAGATGACGGAAGCCTACCGTCGTCCCTGGTGGAACAACATCCGGGAAAGGGAATGAGTGCAAACTAGGCATATGAATGGATAAGGGAGATACTATGAGACAGACTGTGTGGTGGTTTGAATGGCAGTAAGTATAGATGACTCGGTTGACTGGCGGTACGATTGATAGTGCGATTGAGGTAAATATGTGAGGATACCCTATGGTAGGGACAAGTCCTGTTTAGGGGAGCCTAGGGGGAACAGGGACAGGAATGTCTGCCAAGTCTAGAATATCGAGGGTAGAAGTGGTTGGCCCGATAGGATCGGCTGAATTTGGGTTGATGAGAGGAACCCTTGCATCCCATTGTCTTTGTAACAGGGAGGTTGGAGTTCAGGGCATTCAGCCCAAGATGTCAGAAGCTATGGCGGACGGCGGGAGAAAGCTTCTAATGATCGACGACCTTGTTGAGGCCCTGAATAAGCGCGAGAGAGCGCCGAGCAATGTCCCGAAGGTTGATACTTTCCACTTCAAGGGAGAACGGGTGTCCGACTGGCTAGACCTGATGGAGCAAGCACTGGTAGGGTTGTCGGATGAGGTCAAACTCCAGCGAGTACTAAGATATGTCCTTCATAGCCACCATCAGGAAGTGGACAAGGTCGTGGATGCCGCCAATGGTAGTTGGGCGAGGTTCAGGGACATGATGCAGAGAAAGTATAGGTTGAGGGATGACTTGCTAACCACGGCGGATTTGGAGGCCATGAACAAGGATGACTTCTCTACGATTGGGGCCTTTGTGCACGAGTTTCAAAGGAGGGCGCGGAAGGTGCACGGGATCGCTGAAGAAACGCAGTGTGCCATATTTTTGGGTTTGCTTACTGGCTCGGAGGCCTCGGAGCTGACGAATCGCGGAGGGGAAAGTAAGAAACTCACCTGGGCCACTATCGACAAAGGGGTGGAGGAGGGGAGCCTGGACCAGGTGGAGCAGCATCAGGTGCGGCTGCAAAGGCGCAAGAGAAAGGAAAGGGACGCCACTGCGTCCGGGACCCCAGGGGTGAAGAGGATCGTCACGGACGTATTGGCAGCGTTGGGATATGATAACGAGGAGGAGGTGCAAAGGAGGGGAGTGACCGTGGCCCAAGGCCGGGCGTCGGGGGCAGTGGAAGAGGAGGTTAGGCGCGAGGACTATGGTGGAGAAGAGACGGGCTCCCAAATCCTAACCAAGGCCCAGAGAAAGCAGCGGAATTTGCAAGTGGGGGGTCAAGGATCCGGAAAAGGGCGGGTCCCGCAAGCGATTGCTGCGCCGCCACCTGCTGCCACGACAACGTCAGCGACGGTCGGGCCGTCATGTATGGGGCCGTTGTCGGCTTGTGGGCATTGGGTGCCACATTGTCAGCCTACGTCCTGGCCCAGTTGTAATCACTGCGCCTCGTGCGGGGGTAGTCAAACCCAGCCCGGGCAAATGGTCCCTTACGCTGGCCCAGCGGCAAGTATGGGGCCCCCGAGCTACCCTGCGGCTCAGGGTCAGTTTGTGGCCCAACCACCTCCCTCCCAACAGGCCTCGCAAGCTAGTGTGGCCGGTGGAGGAAACCAAGGACAAGGCGGACAAGGCAATGGAGGCCGAGGTCAAGGGGGTCGAGGAGGTGGCGGCCGAGGCCGAGGAGGAAATGGTGGGGGTCGCGGGGGTGGTTGGAATGGTCAGGGGGGTCAAAACCAAGGTGGCCGAGGTGGCCAAGACGGGGGCCAAGGGTATGGGAGGCCCCTCTTTGATTGGCGAAACGCCACCTGCTGGCATTGTAGCGAGGTGGGCCATACTATACGGTTCTGCCAACGGCGGCGAGATGATGAGTTGGCAGGTCTAATTTCCTCTTGTATGGACGGGGATATATACGATAAGTGGGGAGAGCATATCGACCCTAGGACCCCGGGAGGAATCAGGCAAGGAGCTCTTAGGCGAGCGGCGGCAGGGCCATCGGCAACCCCGGCCATGTTCAGGATGTGGCAGGAGAAAGAAGAGTTGACCATAGAAGTTGAGGAGATTGTGGGAGATAGCGAGGAGGTCACCCAGCGTCTAAAGGCGGGGACTATAAGAGAGGAGCCAATAGTCGTCGAGTCGGACGATGAGGGGCAGGAAGGCAAGGGAGAGCCGGCCATACTCCTCTTAGGAAGGATGGAAGATCTGCTGGAAAAGGTGGGGAGATACCAGCGGAAGCTGCAAGTCCTATGTGAAGACGCCCGAGAGTGGGAGGCCAATCTGCCTGAGGTCTTCCTCTACAACTCCGGACCTGAGCCTTCGCCAGGACAACAGGGGTACCCAAGAGTGGCGACCGTAGGGGCGGGCCCTAGGTCAGGTATGGCCTATAGACCCCCCACGTCGCATGGGAGGGTGCCTCAGGCGGCTCGGACCAGGAGCCAAAATAAGGCTGGGCCTAGTCAAGAGCCCAGTCAGGTGCCCAGTCAGGCACCCCCTCGAAAGGAGCCTGAGCCTGGACGTAGGAAGGAGGTGGTGGAGGTTCCGGAGGAAGAGGAAGAGGATGACGAGGAAGAGGATGAGAGGCTCCGACAAGAGGAGGATCAGCGGGCAGAGCTGAGGGCCAAAAAGAGAGGAGCCCGGGAGGAGGCCGAGCCAAGCCTGCCTGACAGCGTGCCTAAGAGGAAGAAGTACATGGTCCGAATGGAAGAAGGCTTTGATGTGGAGCGGATGGTGGACAAGCTCCTGGAAGGCCACAATGACTTGATGAACTTAAAGGATATCCCGGCGTCAGTGCCAAGACTCCGTGGTGAGTTGAAAGGGCGGCCTTCGCGAAGGCTGGTACCAAATGTCCATTTGAGTACGGTCCTGCCCCGGGAGGTGGAGTGGACTGAGGCAGGGACAAGGATGGACTGGAAATGTGTGGCATGTGGGCAGGTGGATCTGGTGATAAAGAACCAGAAATGCGTTGGGATGGTGGACACGGGTGCGGAGATGAACATCATCAGGGAGAAGAAGGTGGTGATGATAGGCATGGACATCGACCGCTCTAACCATGGCATGCTGCACGGCACTAACAGTAAGGCCGCTTTTTGCGGTACAGCGTCTAATGTGATTATAGAGATTGGGAAGGTGCGAGCCAGGACTTGCTTCTTCGTCATGCCCGATGTTGATCATCCCATCCTTCTGGGGTGGTCGTTCCTATGCTAGACGAAAATGTTGATCTTCAACAAGCACGACGGAACAATGATCCTGCCCCTGTGTGACCCGGCGTGTGGGAATTATGAAGTTGGCACATGCCGGAATACGGGGCCGGGGAGCGGGAGGAATAGGCCCAATCTAGGCTCCTTCACCTTTGAGGAGTTAGAGAACGAGTGGTAGAGCGGGCTCCAGATGGGGGTAGGGTACAGTTATACAGACAGAACCAGGAGGCTATGAGTGAGTAGGGACTGGTTCGTCTATATGACAGTAGGATTAGAGTTCCTCTGTACGCAGAGGCCGTGATAGGGGTGTACATACTCTGAGTTAGTCAGGCGCGTCCCGTCTAGTTGTATATACATAGGTGACGGTCTGTGATTGGCTTGAGCTTTATGTGTGATACGGTCTAGGGGATGAGACTTAGTTGTATGATGTCTACGACATACGTGATTTGCATTTTCAGTTGTGTGATTCGGATACTCTTACTTGTATCTTTGAGTAGGCTCTGAGAGTCCATGACACTTGGGACGTGAGTTTGTCCTGCGGAGTGAGACAGTGGAGTGAGTATTTGAGTGTTTTCGGGGCAGGCATTTTGTTACCAAATACACCCTACGAGTTGTGTGTTGAGGGTTTGAGTTGAGTGTCGTATTGAGACTTGAGGGAGATATTTGGCTCCCGAGTATATCTTTGATTTCAGACTCTGTGGGACTTATTCTTGTGACGATCACGACCACTCTCACACGTGTGGCTTTATCCCAATGAATGAGGGCTTTGTGTGAGAGATGTATGGGATACATCTCATGTATGTGTATTGTGTGATTGTGATTGCCGTCTACTCTTCGGTATACTCGTGCGGCCTGCCCATGGGCGGGCGGAACGGCCAAGTATAAGAGGAGGCAGTACGGTCGTTTTTGTGACAAATGTATGAGGACCCTGAGGGGTCTTGCGAGCCTATAAGGCTTGGATGCTTACCATGCCGAATGTTTATGGCTGAGCTGTGAAGGGACCAATAAGTTGGCCCCTTAGTTTGAGTTGTTTTGGGTTTAAGTTGGGGAGACGGGTCATAAGAAGGCCCCTCAGTTGAGTTGTTCTATAATTGAGACCCCCTCGGATTATGGAAGGTGGGGATGTTGTTTATTGACAGCAGTGTAACCCAGATCGCGTGATAGTCCGTCCTGTAAAGAGAGGGGTGGTTGGGAGACCTGTTGAGAGAGACCCCCTTCATGTGAAAAATGGGTGATAGATTTAAGGACATGGTAAGCAATGTTTGAATGATAAAGTCTGACAAGAGGAACCAGGGTTACAAGTTGGAATCATCGGTGGAACTGAGAAGGTCGCAAGTCAGTGCATAAAGATGTCGTGGGATGTGTGGTTTGCTGTCTCTGATCAAGTCAGTAGGCCACGGCCTCGTGTGAGCCCAGTGGTGAAATTGTTTGTGATTGTGAGAAGGGGTCGGACCCTCTATGTTTTCCCATAGGGGGCTGGTAAATACCCTTAAAAAGTAAGGCAGACCCCTGCGTTGTCCCGCAATGGCCCTGTGAGTTTGTTTTGTGACGCACCGCCTAGACACTTGTGCTAATCCTAAGGCATATTAGGGAATACCAAGCTAAACGGTAAAGGTTAGCACCTCTAGGGCGCAACCCCTATTGGATGGCTGCAAGCCAGCACAACCTGGTTGTGGGCCCACGTCTACCCACGGAGTAAGAGTTTAAGGGGTTATGCACGAAATTACTCCGGCGGGATGGCGGGGGATATGGTCGAGTCGTTCGAGCGCCCTGATTGAATGCTTATCAGGAGAAAACCTATCGTTGCATAACCAACGAAGGGACTGCCGCTAAAATAACAATGCGGTAGGCCGTAGATCTGGCTCGATCGACTAGACTATGGTGGGTCAGGATCGAGAACTAGCATTTTTGTACTAGACTGCAGAAGGAGCTGAGAGGAGAATTATGTATATATATATATATGTTTGATTGTGAGGATTTTCGTGAGGGAGGCGAGAGTGCCTTCTGAGGTCTCGTCTAAGGCCCGCGTCCTCGTGGGACTCTGCTTACAAGAGAGAGTCTAACAGGGACACTCAACGGTTTGAGGTGGCCTTTGGAACTTATGCTGTAGTATTGATGCGTAGTACACCTTCGTCCTAGCGTCAGGGCACTGGAAACCCAGGTTGAAACTCTGGCAGCATATAGTTATGTCGGCATGGAGCGTTGGAGGCCTCAACCCTAAGTCTGTCGGCTAATCGGATTGGTTCCATTCCCGTCAGCATTTGGAGTGTGGATGAATTTATAGCTTCTGATTTGGCGTAGCGACGGGGACGTCGCTTAATATAGTCCGGTAGGCTGTCGGCGCGAATACCCTTACAAGGGTATCCGCCCTGGTTTTTGCAGATGACAGGGAACAGTGAGTTTGGTCGAAATAAGTCGTGCGAGGCACGATCGCGTCCGAGACCCGCCTTGGTTAAGTTAGGGGGTATGTGGGCGCGCAAATTAAGGCGCG